AAAAATAGCATTCATCTTCATTCATCTACTCCAATGACTAACTATCATAAGAAAGTTAACCTCCTACTTGTGATGAAAACACTTTCAATCATCACTTTCTTGCAATGCACAAACTCATCCACCTCACACAACCTGGCCGAAATCCTGCTCCACGTCATGCAAACCCAATTCCAGGTCCCTCGTGGTCAGCTTGACAGCTGGCAAAACTCGACTCGACCGTGCAACTGGACCGGCATCTCGTGCGACCCACGGACCAAAAACGTCATCTCCATAAACTTAACCGGTTTCAACATTTCCGGTCCCTTCCCATCAGACTTGTGCCGAATTCCGACCCTTCAAAATCTTGACCTGTCCAACAACTACTTAGGCGGCCGAGTCGAACCCCTCTCGATTTCCAACTGCTCGAATCTCGTCTCCCTCAACCTCTCACTCAACCTCTTCGTCGGCACGCTGCCAGATTTCCCGCCACATTTTGTCAAACTAAAGATTTTGGACCTTTCGTTCAACAATTTTTCTGGGGAGATCCCCGTGAGCTTCATAAACTTGCGGAATCTCGAGCATCTCAACCTCATTTCCAATTTACTAAACGGGACCGCTTTCCCCGAGTTCGTATCTAACATGACCAAAATGACTCGACTACTCCTGTCCTGGAATCCCTTCCGCCCGAGCCAGCTGCCTATAAACATCGGCCAGCTCACGAAGCTCGAGGATTTCCAGGCCGTGTCATCTAACCTCATTGGCCATATTCCGTATTCCATCGGGAACTTAAAATCTGTTAAAAACTTCGATGTATCTCAAAACAAGTTACAGGGCCCAATCCCGGTCAGCATCGGTGGCATGACAAGCATGGTTCAGATTGAGTTGTACAACAATCACATTTCGGGCGAAATTCCAGATACATTCTCCAATCTGACGTCACTCGTACGTTTCGACTTCTCCCAGAATAGCCTGACTGGGAAAATCCCCGCCAGCCTGGCAGCCCTGCACGTCGAGTCCTTCCATTTGAAGAACAACTTCCTGTCGGGAAAAATCCCCGAGGCTATTGCTCTCAATCCGGTGCTCACCGAACTGTTGCTGTTCAACAATAGCTTGTCTGGAAAGATACCTCCCAATTTGGGCCTGCATTCGGGCCTCGAGCAATTCGACTTATCAAACAACAACTTGGAGGGCCCGCTGCCACCCAACCTTTGCCGTGGGAAGAAGTTAATGATTCTGAATATCATCAACAACAGGATTTCTGGTGAAATACCCGAATCTTACGGAGAGTGTCTCACCTTAGTCCGTGTCCGAATTCAGGACAATGAGCTCTCGGGGAATGTGCCAAACGGGCTGTGGGGTTTGAGCAAGCTCAAGTATCTCGAGATCTCAAACAACAGATTACAAGGCCGTATTTCGCAGTCGGTTTCATCTGCCAAGAGCCTTCAGCAGTTACTAATCGCCGGGAATAGATTTTCTGGAGAGTTGCCTGAAGGAATCTGCAAGTTGCAAGAGCTGGGAAGGTTTGATACGAGCAGGAACGAGTTTTCCGGAGTGCTGCCTTCGTGTATTAACGAGTTATCGAATTTAACTGAGCTTCGCATGCAGGGGAATAACTTTAGCGGTGAGATCCCGAAAAATATTGGTGATTTGGTGCAGCTAACTGAGTTGGATTTGCAGGAAAATCGATTTTCCGGAATTATACCGTCCGAGCTGGGGGAATTACCACATTTGACATATCTGAACCTTTCGAATAATATGCTCTCAGGGGAAATTCCGGAAGAGCTCGCCAAACTCAAGATAATCGAGTCCGACGTATCAAATAACCAGCTTCAAGGTAGTGTCCCACCCGGTTTAGATACACAGCCTTTTGTGACCGGCCTAAAGGGAAATCCAAATTTGTGTAGTTCAATCCTTACAGAGCTTCGTCCTTGCTCGATAGAGAAACATGCTCGTAAAAGCTTCTCGTCGGTGAGAATTTTATCGGCAGTCGCATTGATTTCAATAGCGTTACTCATTTGTTTTTGGTTCCAAACCGAGATTTTTCTAAGATTTAGGCACAAGAGAAACCAAACATGGAAAATCGAGGTTTTTCAGAAGGGTGCGATTGACGAAGATGACATATTGGCCTCATTGAAAGCCGAGAATGTAATCGGGTCCGGAGGATCCGGTGTTGTTTACAAAGTCGTGCTCAAGAGTGGGCGAGAAGTGGCGGCAAAAAAGCTTTGGGAGGCAAATTTGGAAGAACCCGAGCACGTTTTCCGATCGGAAATAGAGACCATGGGAAATATTAGGCATTTAAACATAGTGAAGTTGTTGTTTAGTTGCATTAGTGAAGATTATAGGATATTGGTGTACGAGTACATGAAGAACGGGAGTTTGGGGGATGTTTTGCATGGGGAGGGAGGTGGAGTTTTACTCGATTGGCCTAAACGGTTTGCCATTGCAGTTGGGACGGCCCAAGGGCTCGCGTATTTGCACCATGATTGTGTGCCTGCAATTATGCACAGAGATTTGAAGTCTAACAACATATTGTTGGATGAGGAGTTTAGGCCTAAATTGGCCGACTTTGGCTTGGCGAAATCTTTGAAGCGGGAAGTGAATGAGAGTGCTCAGACCATGTCTCGTGTGGCTGGTACTTATGGATATATTGCACCAGGTTTGAGAAGCTCCTACTTTTATAGATTGATTTAATAATCTCTAAAACTAGCCTATAAATAAGCCTATTCAACTTATGCTTATGTTGTTTATTTGATGTGTTGTAGAATATGGTTACACCATGAAAGTCACGGAAAAGAGTGATGTCTACAGCTTTGGGATAGTATTACTTGAGCTACTGACTGGGAAGAGGCCGAACGATTCCACATTTGGAGAGAACATGAACATTGTCACTTGGGTGAAGGATATTACAATACCGTCCAGAAAACGAGGTGGAAATCGAGATGCTAATATTGGTAGTTTGAATAAGATGTTAGATCCTCAAATGAATGCGGACAGCATAGAGTATCAACAAGTGAAGACTGTCCTGAATGTGGCTCTCTTGTGTACTGCTGAATTGCCAGTTAGAAGGCCATCCATGAGAAGGGTTGTTGAGCTGCTCAAACATTAGCACGCAAGGAAGAATGAAATGTGAAGATATTAAATCTCTGTCCATTTGTTTCTGCACATTCGATACTAATTCTTAAACCTTAGATTTTGTGGAAATACATATTGATATCATTTGGATTAGTATAGATAATTCTAGTCAAATGAACCGAAATAGCAAGTCAGTTGTAATTCCTCTTTCCCCAATCCTTGTCTTCAGAAAAATAAAACAAAGACATTTTTGCGTTTCACATTCCTCTTGTGATATTAAATTAGCATTATGCTTATGCAGGTCCTGATGGCCTATTTGAGGTGAAGCATCACTGAAAACTGTGATGCTATTATTCTCCCAGATAATATTAAGACAAGAATTAATCAGAGTAAGTACTATTGAGTAGTTTTACACTCACCCTATACCAACAAGCACTATTACTCTCTTTTTATCCAGAAAGAGCTACAAATAGGATCACCAGAAAGAGTACTATACTCCCAAATCCTCCATCACAGCTACAATCATCCATAATAATTTCCAANAAAAAAAGGTGACTAGGCAGTTGCCTCATGGCTGTTAGCATCATTTCCCACTTCTGGAAGAGTATCCAAGTCTGTACGGGCATTCGTCTCTTCTTGAGGAAGAAGTGAGGTGGATGAGTCTACCTGTTCATGTTCGGAAGAAGAAACTTCCGCCTGAGTTCCGCTCACATCATCACTGCCATTACTGTCTGTAAACGAGGTTGTTTTCTCAGTTGAAGTTTCCGGATTGTTCTCAACATTCTCACTCGTCGTTGGAGTCGAACTTCCTTCCACGTTCTCATCACTGCTACCGGATTTCTCAGTCTTCTCCTTTTCATCTTCTCCAGATTTTTCGTTTTGGCTTTGGCTGGAATCGCCATTACCTCCATTTGGTTCATCTGAAGAATCATGATTGTGCTCGTTCTCATTGGTCGACTCTGAATTATGGATGCTGTTATCATTAGACTCTTCTTGGCCATTGGCTACACTTTGACCCGAACCATTCTCTTCCTTGGTGCCCTCGTTAGTTTGTTCATTTCTAATTTGATCATCACTGTCTTTCTGCTTCTCAACATGGTTGTTCTCCTCGTGAGCGGTTTTGTCACCTTCTTTGCTCTCTTCTTGGCCATTGTTTTTCTCTCTCTCGCCTTCTGTAAGGTTCGGCTGTGAAGCTTCACTCTGGTTCTCTTTATTCTCGTGGTCCTTGGAGTTTTCTTTATTTTCGTCCTCTTCCTTCCCATTTTCTTCCGTTTTCTCTGAAGTTTTATTCTCATTCTCTCCTGCAGCATCACCTTTGTTTTCTTTGCTCTCCTTCTCTCCTCTATTTTCCTCGCTACTGTTCTCCATATTATCACTCCCTCCTTTAATTTCCTCATTCTTGGTCTCCGTGTTCTCACCGTCTCCTTTTCTTTCTTCATTCTTATTTTCTGCCATTTCCTCGTTGTTGTTCTGCTTGCTGTCACTTTCTCCATTTTTGTTCTCTGCAATTTCTTCATTCTTGTTCTCTTCCCCCACATTTTCTCCAGTAGCAGCAGCTTCATTCTTGTTCTCCCCAATTTCTTCATTCTTGCTCTCATTTCCCACAGTTTCTCCCGTAATTTCCTCATTCTTGTTCTCTATAACTTCTTCCTTGTTTTCCCCAGTTTCTCCATTACTATTCTCAGCCCCCACATTTTCTTCTTCATTCTTGCTCTCTGTAATCTCTTCACTCTTGCTCTCTGTTCCCTCATTTTCTCCCGCAACTTCTTCACTATTGTTTTCTGTAATCTCGTTCTCTCCCGTTGTCTCCTCAATTTTACTCTCAGAACTATCCCCTTCATTATTCGCATCATCTCCATTTTCACTAATCTCCTTGACTCTCTCTCCACCTTCCTCTTCCTTACTCCCTTCATTACTTTCCTTCTCCTCGCCACCTGTCCTCTCCTCATTCGCCGCATTACTCCCTTCATCTTCTCTCACTGCATTTTCTCTCTCACCATCAAAATGCACATTTTGCTCCACCTCTTTCTCCTTCTCATCCTCCTCATTGATTTCAGTCTTGGGATTGAGATCCTTTCTCCCGAGCTTTATGCCGTTAGGCTCGTTTTCTAGCTTTGTCGAGATTTTCGGGTTGTCCCCCTTTTTGTTGTGTGATTGCTGGACTTGGTAAAGCAGCCAGAAGCAAATTCCAAGAAGGAGGCCTATTTGGAGCACGTGCTTAACTTTTATCCCTTTGTTTCTGTTGTTCCTACGTGGCGAGTGCTTGAACATGGTGACTCTTGGATCGACTTAAATTGCGAAAACCTCTGATTTCGACAATGTCCTGTTGAAATTTTAACTGAAAAAGAAAAATGGATCAAGAAGAAGACAGATCTAAAGCAAACCTAGAAAACAGAAACATAATCTGACATTTTACCAAAGGTGTGAGTTTATTTTTTCTGAACTGTTTGGAGAGAAAAACAGATTACAAGACTT